TTCAAAATGGCAGCCCACTGCTCCTAACACTAGGATGGGTCAAATGCAGAGAAACAATTTCCCCACGAGGGATTAATAAAGTATATCAAATATCAAATCTAAGCTAAAGTTCACTAAAGAGTTTGGACACTTTGGAGAAACTATTTCAAAACGCCCATCAGTGTGGATGTACTCAGTGAGTGAGCACAGCAACAACACTGGGGAATAAAAACATGAGGAAATAGTTCTGTGCTCTTTATTGTTTCCAGCTGTCCGCTTGCTCGGCTGGAGAAGAGAAGTTGATACGATAAAGAGACAGTCTATCCTGATCATTCCTTGACAGTCTAACTTGTTCTTATAACTCTATGTTGTTACTTACGCTTTACCAAGAAAGTTAAAAGGAGCATATCAGATTTCCACTCATTGAATATGTAATCCAATTCTTCATGCTTGGCTACAAAACTGGCACACCACTCCACAAACACAAAGCCACTATGAATGGATGAAGGAGGGGCAGAGTATGCAAGTTTGAGATATTTAACAATTAAGTGTATGAAATCACAATTTAATTCAATATTAAAGTAGAATCAGATATACAGTACAGTGCACTAAATGTCACAGTAAATAAATAAAATGATATATGTGAATGCATCACCTTCACATCACAAATACACACGCAGGCCACGAACAGCTGATCTGCAAAACCTCTATCAGCACAATGTTATATGACGTACTGCTGTGAGCTCAAAGATTTTACAAATGTAAAATGATTAACTACCAACCTTGACTTTGGTGTTGCCCTTACATAACATGCATGAAGAGATGCACAGATTTTGTGAAGCAATGCAACCGACAATTAACACGAGACCAACGAGGTGGAGCAGACAGAATGACGTAAAACTACCTGCATATTACAACTCATTCAGATAGGTAGTGATTCAGAATAATGGCTTGGGTGTGTACTGTTCGACAGGCTATTACAACAATCTCATAATGATTGTGTCATTATCACAGTTAGGCTGGAATGAACAAGTGTTTAGTAAGTGCAGGTGGTAAATAGAATGGGACACATGAAGGTCATGGTCTTCATGGAGGCTAAAATCTGGCACGGCAGGCATAACTTGATTGAAGAAGTTATATTTTAAGAAAAACATTCATTTTTAGAATGCTATTCCTACCAGTATAGAAGTGTTTCAGCTTTAGTCAGTTTAATTAATGTTAAAGATCAACAGTCGTGTTTTCATAGTATGTATTAATGTAGAAATAGTTTTTGTAAATGTGCAATATATGCATACCCTAAGACAACATATATGAATTACAAATGTGCTATATTTTATGAAATACATGCATTGTACACGGTCCCTGTGTTTGCTCATCTCCGACACCCAATCACGTGACTTCCAAGATTTTCGTTTTGAAAGCCAGCCTTCTCAGTATTAAATATTATTAAACTTAGAGGGGAGAGTTTTGAAATGTTTCCTCCTCCCCCGCATCTCTTATCAAGGGTATATTATCAGGATGTCCACCAGCTGTCTCTACGTCCTTAAAATGAACCTCTGCTTCCACAAACCCGAGCGTGCAACGTGTCTGCAGTGTGACGCAATATCAACTCACTACTGACTGTGAACGGATAAAAGAGGGAAAGTAAAGCAAATAAGCGAGAGGATTGACTCCTGCTCACTTCCTGGTTAGACAATCTGTACAACAACTCTGTATGTTATACCGTGATGTGTTTTGTAGTTAAAAGGGTGATGTATACGTTTCAAAAAGGAAGCCTCAGATGGCCAATACTGTAAGTTTACATTAAATAGGTTTTAAGCTATATTCACGCTTGATATATATTTTTAAAAACAAAGAAGCACAAAAAGGCTCTAATGCGAGTAAAATCAACCATGAAGATTCAAAATTCAGAACAGCAAGTCGTTTTCGCAAGTATTTTAGATTCAAATCAGCCAAACCATTTTAAGTGCTAGTGCATTAGCTTCAAGTTAGCCAAAAGTTTAAAGTGCTAGTGCATTAGCTTCAAATTAGCCAAAAGTCTTAAGTGCTGGAGCACTACCTTCGAATAAACCAAACCATTTTGAGTACTACAACATTACAGCAGTTGCGTCATCATTAAAACATTTCACAAGTCCCATATTCTTCCAAATACAAGACTCAAATTAGTGGAAATCTCTAAACCAACAGAGGTGTAACTGTTATCTCATTACAATTAGCGTTAGCATAGCAATGTCAGTTACACAGGCGTTTAAAACCCGTTAGGGAAGAATATTCATAATACAAACACACCAGGTCGAAGAGAACATGTTGGTGTCTTGTGAAGAGGAAACACACGATGTCAGACAGGAGTAGAGTCACAAAACACTTCATTAATCCCAATAGGCCTACATGTATTGTGTATATATTTCGACAACTAGAGGCAACTGTTGCTTTGACTGCAGGGCAAAAAATAAAAGCTTGTAAAAGCTTATAAACACTTGTTAAGTAGCCTATTGCAAAAATCTATAAACATAGAATATAAGAAAAATATGAGAATGATTTCATCTTGGGAAGAGGGCTTGAATTAATAAAAAATTGGTCACTAAAAATATGAAGGAATACTACAACATACAACAAATATGTACAGGAAACTTAAATATAGAATAGAAGAGACAGACAATAAAAACATATACAAATACTATGAAAAGGTACACAATATCTCGAGGTTTATTAGAGGGTAACAGGTTGCAGAGAACGCCTAGCCCGGCCGGGGAGTGTGGAACGTAGTCACTGACCCACTCCTCTGACAAATTCAGGTTCCAATGGGGACCTTTCTCCCTGTGTGCCTCTCCACCTCTGTTTCCTACTTCTTACTTGCTACCCTTTTCCCTCAACCTATCCTAAGGGAGTGCATGTATGTAGACACGTTAGTTTAGCTGCTATAGGCTTGGACTGTTGAGGGGGGCACCTTACTCCGTCTTTCTGGCTGTTTGTACCTGTGTACTCTCATGTTCCGATTAACCCAGTTTCCCCCAAATCTCTTTTTTTGTGTCCATATATACGCCGGGATCCTGAGTCGAGGCTAATCATGTTGCTGTGGTCGTGTGTCCTGGATCCTCTATCCTGAGCACTGGATCTGAGTCCTGGACTTCGAGTCGTGGCTGAACCTGTCTCTGCGGTCCTGCCAGACTCTCACCATACTACTTCACTGATGGCTCCCACAGGATTGTTGACATCCTCGTGGATTCATCTTCTTATTACAGACACATGCATTTCCAAACATTTGGTCTACCTATGTTGTAAATGTATCATCTTTTCGATTTACATACGGCATCTATTGCACGTCTGTCCGTTCTGGGAGAGGGATCCCTCCTCTGTTGCTCTCCCTGAGGTTTCTCCCATTTTTCCCTTTAAACTGTGGGTTTTCTCAGGAAGTGTTTCCTTGTACGATGTGAGGGTCTAAGGACAGAGGGTGTCGTATTGTCATACTGATATTCTGTACACACTGTGAAGTCCACTGAGACAAATGTAACATTTGTGATATTGGGCTATATAAATAAACATTGATTGATTGATTGATTGAATATCTGAATTATAAAAGAAAAGCAGCGCAGTTTTAGAAAAAGTTTAGGCAGAAAATGAAAACTTCTCCAATAATTGAGCAAAGGTTCACAATATGACAAAGAATATGCAATGTAAGAGAGACACAGTCCAAAAGACGTGCATTCCTGTAACATAGGCAGAAATAATTTTATCTAATTTCTAATACCACCAATATAACAAGTAACTATAGCTGTTAGATAAGTGAATTGAGTAAAAAGTACAAAATGTGCCTCTGATAGTGGAGTAGAAGTATAAAGTAGGATAGTAAGATAATGGATATACTTAGTAACAATATTGTACTAATTATTGGGAGATGCAGGTCTGCCTAGTAGGGTATACAGGGTCAAATGTTATTGTACAGTACAATGTGTGTTGTGCATGTGGTGATAATTCAAGTTTCAACGGTTTATTGTCATAACATAGACACAACTATGGTGTAATTATGTAATGTATGAAAAATGTAGATAGCAGGTTCCTCAACAGTGCAATTTACAAGACATCAACAAATACAAATAAATTAGTGCAAGCTCAGGTGTTAAATAGTCTTATGGCCTGTGGGTTGAAACTGTCCCTGAGTCTGGTAGTTGTTGTAATACTTTGTAATTTAACCTTTCAAAACAATGTTGTACAGAATAATTATAATATTTGTCCCCTTTGAATAATAAATATAAAGATGTGTTGAAATGGAAACACAATTATAGGAGGCTAAAGGTTACCTTAATGTGTCCTTAAGTACAGTATAATAAAAATAGATGCTATAAGTCACATTGCACAATATATTGTCATACCTTTGCATCTTACAATCTATTTATCAAAAGAGTTATCATTACGATGAACAGCATTTAATTTAATTGTACTCTCTGTTCTTGTTTATCTTACTTGATTCACATGTGTATATAGACTCCTGCATTTACTTGGTCACCTACAACATTCTCTGCATTATTAGCTTATTGTATTTATTTTCCTGACAAGTATATAGTGTACTTGCACATTGGTCTTGCAACAAAATCTGCACTATAATATTCTAATTTATCTTCTCTTTTTGCAACATTTAAAAAAAAAATGTGTTTAATCGTCTCATGACAATAAAGCCTTTTAATCCTTGAACTGTACGCATGCGCAGACTGATTGCCCTTCCCTTTGGCTCTTCCGGGAACCCTGCAGTTTTGCAGAGTGTGAACTATCTTACTCTCACGTATATCCTCTTTGATCCAGGTGACCCAAATCATTTATTCGGTTAATGATTACGCGTGTGTGATTAAAACCCGAAACGTTTCTGTACCTCTAGTCTCTTGGGAAGGTGAACGTGTCGCCACAGCATACATTTGATTATTCGGTAACACTGTTGCTATGCTACATACATTTAGCAGCGTGCAAACTACCTAAACTATTACATAATCAATCGTTGTAAGAAGCAGAAATAAAACGTGCAGACTTACCTGCGGATCCTCCCGCTATAATCTGATGAGACGCTTCACGGAGCAAACTCTGCGGCTTCTTGGTTGTCATTGTTAAAGTGTCCTACCAAAACAAACAAACCCGTTATTGAGCCAGTTATCTCTGCTTGTATCGTATCGTGAGTTAGTACATCGTGTTATATCGCTGTTACAGCATGCTTCACACGACCTACCCGTGTTTCCTGCTCTTATGAGGCGGCTGTGTTGTGTCTTGACTCTCTGAAGTTGTGCTCTTGCAGCCCACGCTGGAGAAAGCGCAGCAGTGATATCTCTCCGAGGCTCTCAGGCTAGGCTAGGCTAATATGGAATCAATTACCAAGCAAAACAAATACTGCTGCATCACATTCACCTCCCATCGCCTCAAGCATTTTTGAAAAGTGTAAATAAACAATGAATAAAACCCCTACTGACACTTTCTAGATCAGTATCGTACAAAAAATCAATGAGCAGAAAAGTATTTTTTATTAAAGTGTCCGTTTATCTTTTACAGTGGCAACCTTACTCCAATGTTTACTTTGCACATTATTTAATGTAATTCATCAGTTTCTTTTGGGGACTTTTTTCCAATTTGTTTGCAAGGGTCTAAGGTCAGAGGCCGTTAGATGCTGTATGTGTTATTTAATTTCTGATATTGGGCTATATAAAAAACATTTGAATGATTAATATAGGAATCTGAATTAGCCAAGTAGGTTTACATGTACAATGAATTAGCTTTGGTGTAAAATGGTGAATGCATAAACACACTAAGAGAAATTAAGATGTAAAATATAGAGCAAATATAGCATTAAAATACGTTTGCAAGAACAATATAAATACAAAAAGGAAATGTAGAATAAATTACACAATGCAAATGACACATTATTGTTTAAAATATATATAAATAATGTAGGTGATATTCAAACAGTGTGCAGGTTATAGCTAACAGTTTACAGTATATCGGTGTAAAAGGGGAGTTCACTTTTCCTGTTCCTGTTCCGTTAAAACATGAGACTCCACCCAAAATCTTTCTTTTGAGAATCACGCAATTACACTGCAGTGCACCATGTGAACTGTGTCTCTCATAAGGGTTATTTAATTATGGAAGGATATTTTTTTATGAATCTGTTTATTTGTTAGTTTAGAAAATGTCATAGCCCAACATGGTGAAATTGACAAACGAGTGAGAAGTAGCTAGCAAACAGTATTATTTATTTTTTAAGAAATTGAACCAGGAACAATCTTTAAATCTGTATATAATATTGACTTTTTCTTGCCAGATTAACTAAATAATCATTGTTAAAATCACTATGGTAAATAAACTAATCAATGATTTATAATGAGGCTGTGGTCAGCTCGACTTCGGCCCAATCCTTTAAGAGCCAATCGCGCAGGAGCTAATTCAGTTGTTGACCCAGAAGATGGATTTTGTCCCTTTGAGAAAAGAGTGTAACCTGGATAAATAATGCAAAGCCACAACTAGTGTCAACATGCAATTCATACAATATTGATATACAATAGAGATCTGATAGCATGTGTTAAACAAAATGAAAAATGACAAGCGTCTGACTTATCCTCTGACTGCTATTCACCCTTGAATAAAATGTCTATAAATGGCTCCCAGTGTCGGCAGGTCTGCATAAGCTACAGGCCTCCTAACATAAACCACATGTCACTGTCTCCCTTCTCAACCCATGTTATGTAATGTGAATATTATGTTTTACATTGCTGATACTGTAGCGGTCAATGTTGTGTTGGATCAGACAGGAAGGAAGCTTGAATGTCACCTTATAGATTTACAGATTATCTATACAAGTTTAAATCACACCTTTACACAAAGCACTCTTCACTACTTACACATATCACATCACTCACTTGTTATGTAACAGAGATGTTTCAGTAGATTTTTGAGTTGTTTATAGTTAACAGTAGAAAGGAATTGAATAAAGGGATAATTAAAGAGGTCCTTCACCTGCAATAAGACATTTAAGACAGATTTTATTTAAGAGCTTTAACATTATCATGTTGGCAAATCAGTCCTACGATTATAAAGACATCATGCCATCACTAAGAGAGTGAGTTCGTACAGGATTTGAGGTCAAAATGTAAGTTAAGATGAACATTTTAGTCAATTATTATAGTCAATCTCCAGCAATGTAATTGAAATAATGTAAAATAAAAATGTAAAATAAAAATGACAAATCTACTGACCCTTGTCTCTCACAGAAAGTGTTTCTGTTTAACTGAAGAGACTCAAACTGCAGGGACTATATTGTCCATATCTAAGTCAGGTCCAGCCCAGATACTTATAGAGCACATTTCAAAAGAACACGTCGACCAAAGAACTTTACAAAGAAAATTAATATGACACATTAATTATACAAACACAGACATTATAAAGAAAAGAAAAGTTAAATAAAAAAGCAGAAAATCGTGAAAATATATAAATAGAAAGATAAAACAGAAAAAACAATGAAAACAATTGAATAAAAAATAAAACACTAGTTTTGGTCATAAGTCTTCATGGTGATAGTTCGAGGCTAAAGAGAAGAAATAGAAATAGAAAATCATATACAATAATGAACAGACGAATCAATAATTAATGAATTGTTGGATGCAGCCCTAAAAGTGTTAACAAAATTGGACGGCGCAATCACATGCTCATAAGAAATAACACTGTTGTGTCTCGTCACATGTGTTAGTTTGTTTATGTATTTGTCTGTCATTTCCTGTTTTATTTTGTATTTACCTCGTCTTTCATTTCAGGCCCTGTTTCTTCCTCCCCTTGTGTGTTTTCCCGCCATCATCAGTGTCTGCCCCGCCCCTGATTGTTTCCACCTGTTCCCACCAGGTTCCCACTCACCTCATGTTTAAATCATATTTGGGAATCGATCGACCAATACAGAGAAGAAACTCACTATAAATGGCGTCCAATTAGAAAGAGTATCGGAAATGAAATTCCTTGGAGTAATCATAGACAATAGATGAAGTTGGAAACCACATATAAGCTATATCAACGCCAACATATCCAAATCAATAGCAATTCTGAATAAAGCCAAATACCTAATTAATCAAGCTTCTTTGTTTATGCTGTACTGCTCCTTCATACTTCCATTCTTTCACACACAGTGACGTCACGAGCTACCCACAATGCAACACGCGCCATATACATATATATATAAAGGCGCCATTTTCCGGGAGGTGCAAATATCCTGGAAGTGCAAATATAAACAGCTAGCTAACTAGCCAGGCAGAGCGCAGTAGGTTTGTTTTCTGAATTAACGACAGAAGAAATCGCTGCATGTCTTCGGATTACATCTCTGGACTTGAGGGATGTGCTTTAGGTCGTTACCAGCGTAAACTAGAGCTGTGTGGGTTGTTACAGACTGCCTGCAGATGTATGGAAAAACGACAGTGGCCTTCGTCGATTTTGGCTGCATCTACGTCTAATTTCTGGAAACACCAGGTGAATACCCCACTTGTCACAATAATATTATCATGCCATTGCATATATGTGGTATTTTAGAGTTGACTAGATATTGATTAAGGCAATAGACTATGATATTCAGTACAGGAAGCTTAGCAACACCTAGACGGTGTACGGCTGCTTGCACCTCGCGTAAAACGGCGCAGACCGGAAGTACGGTGTCGCGCTCGGCCCAATACCCGTATGTGTGTGTGAAAGAGCATGATGTATTGTGTGGAAGTTTGGGGGAACACATATAAAACAAATACACATCCTGCAAAAAAGAGCCATACGAGTTATACATAAAACTACCTACAGAGAACCTACAAATAAATTATTCATCAAACTACAAACACTAAAACTACAAGACCTGGTTGACTATAAAACTATTCAAATTATGTTCAAAGCCGCAAATCAACAATTACCTCATAATATCCAGGGACTTTTCACACGGAGAGAAAGCATGCACATGTTGAGAGGAAACTGCATTTTCAGAAACCACCCGTACGAACAAATGCCAAACTTCATTGCATCTCATCAAAAGGTGTTAGTCTGTGGAATAACTGTAACGATGCACTGAAATATTGTATAAGTCTAAACTGAAAGTATTATTTAGGAGCCAAATCATTAATGGTTATGAACAGGACCTGTAAAATCCCATTTGTTGTTATTTCTTGTAATTGTAAAAGTAATTTATTTCTGATTGTTTTGTAAAAAAACTAAAAGCAAACAAATGAACAAGACAAACATGTTGCTGATGACGATGACCTAATGTTTTATTTATAAGAAAAATATATGCTAGAGGGGGGAGGACCAGAAAAGTTTTTTTTAAGCTTCTTCTTGCCCCTGTTGAACATGACAGACTATCTGAGAATTATTATTGTTTTTTTGTTTTGTTTTTTTAATTGATTTATTTTTGTACTTTGTTATAATTATTAATTTGAGTGAGAAAAAAAAGGAAAAAAAAGAGAATATATATATATTATTGTTGTATGTTTTTGTTTCTGACATGTTCAATAAACTGACTTGAAATAAAATAGTCCTGTCTCCCCCTGTCCTGTGTCAGTTCGTCTTGTTTGTTTCCATGGATGGTCGTGCCAGGCTTCAGCCAAGAGAGGATCATTTCCAGTCTAGTCAGGTTTTGTTATTTTGTTATTTTTTGCAGACTTAAATTAATCTGAAATTCTCTTTTTGTTACGCTTTTTGTTTAATCCAATACCTACTCTGTAAAGAGGGATTTTCTGTTTGCTTGAAATTAAAAGGACATTTTTTGTTACATTCAAGACTGTCTCTGGGTCGTGCATTTGGGTTCTCCAGTTTGTGTAAAGGTCGTGACAAACACAAGGCTTTTCATGATTTAAAATAAGTCTTAAAAGTTCTCACATACATCCCTCGTCTAATAAATAAAATCATGCCGCTTTCTTAATTCATAAAACCTGCATTGTGCCCATCTGTCCAGCAACACTGGCATATTTTACATTAAATTAAATGTGATTTAGACTCTTACAAAGCGTGTAGCCTCAGCCATAATGCACCACGGAAAAATTATTTTCTTTTTTGATGAGCAATGAAAGCAAGCAGACATTCAGCAGTGAGGCTTATAACAAGCATTTCATTTTGTGTCAGAGCTGCTTTGGAACAACAAGAGCTCAGACAAGCTATAAAAAGTGAGATTTACTGCATATATTTGGCAGGAAAATGCCATTACCACTTTGACCCCCTCGGATAAGAAAAAGCAGAACAGCTTCCACACCAAGAAAAAAACCTGGACTGCAGTAAAACAGCAGAGTGGAGGCTGAGCAACACACAGAGTTTATGGAAGTGTTGGATGAGAGCGTTTTTAGTAACATAGAAACAGTGTTGTTCTTTTCCAAGAGGAGTTTCGT